AGGAATCAGCGTAAACTGCTGCCAAAACATTACAATATTGCTCTGCAGTAGCTTCGTTCTTCACACCAATTTTCTGAAAGAACGGTGCATACATTGCATCTTCTGGAGTAATCTTGTACAGATATGGTCTGAAGTCAAGATCATAGAAAAGAGACAGACACATGTCATCAGGCCTCATAAGTTTTGTGTCTTTTTCAACCAACACAACAGGAAGACCAGCCAGCTGGTTTCCTTCAAATCTTTTTGCTTGCAGGTAAGCGTACGAATTTCTGAACACTTTAGCTCGTGTTTTGATCAGGTGGTCAGTTTCACATGGTGACTGACAGATGTTTCTTATGTTACTGGTTACACAGTTTGGAGGTGGTTCTTCATGAGCTCCTGCACTTTTTATCATTTTCTGAAGACTTTGTGACATAATTGGCAGGTCTATAATTGGCATTGAGGTCCAAATCAAATCCTGATGTTCTGGATTTTTTTCAATCAACGAGCCTCTAATTTTAACAGTAGTTCCTTCAGCTGCAAATGGTTGGTGGTAGTTGGACAGTTCTTTTCGAATCATAACTGGAAAAATGAATTTGATGTCGGCAATGCTTTCCAGCAACCTTTCCTTGTTGTCTTTGGGATCACATGCTTTATTCAAGGCTTTCCTGAAAAGTAATGATGATTTCCGTTTCAGGTCTTCAATTTTTCCTTTTCCTTTTGTTTCTGATTCCAGCTGGTACGCAAAATTTATTATCTCATCGTTTGACACAACATGCTTCATTCCAAGTTCTCTGACCAGCTCTTTTGCTTTTTCTGTTGTGTAGTCTTCTCCGTCACACAGCTCAGTCCAAAATCTGTTAGGTACAAATTTCTCTTGAGGCAGCATTTGTTTGTACAGCTCCACTCTCTCATCAAAGTAGTATGATGCAGGCTCCAGTCTACCTTGAGAACTGTGAATCAGTTTCACTGTCTTCAGTAAAGAGATGATAGTTTTCTTGTCCTCTGAAGAGTAATGTAGTGACAGCAACAGCTTAAGGCTGTGAAGAATCTGTGTCTCTGTGAGTTGGTGTACAGCAGGTAGAATGAACTTCATGAAATACTCCAAATCATCCAGGACCTGAATGGTGAGTGTTTGTGACAGCATGTAGTTCTCAGAGTTGAACTTGAGAAAAATGCTGTTGCTGTTGGGCAGGTTGAACAAATCTGGAAATTTCACTGAATAAATGCTGTTGAGAACATAAACCTTTTTAGTTCCATCAATCCTCACTCGTTCACCATGTGTTGTTTCAAATATTGGTAAGGATTTGAGTTTCGTCACATACTCCTGATTGTCTTTGGACTTGGAAAATCCCGATTGCAGGAACATCTGAAACTTATTCATATCATCATTTGAAAGCTGGGAAAACTCTGAGTGATTAATGTTGTACACTTGATCCAACACTGAGCTTTGATCATCTACATCAAGAAGTTCATCTTGTAGACATGAACGTACCTCTCGGTCCATTTTAGAGAAGAAAACATGATCAAACCTCATAAAACCAAGTTTGAAGAGGATGCCTGATATGTCTTTGTGTTTCTGTGAGGCAAACACAACACTTGACATGTGTTTCATTGTTTGCAGCAAGTGCTTGTTGTTCAACCTTGGACACACAACAGGTAAAATGTAGCAGTCACTGAAGAGTTTCCTCACATCACTTAGTGTCAGACTTTGTTCATCAACTCTAGATGTTGGTAGTTTAATTTCACTTGTTATGAACATCCAAAGTGATTTCAGCCACTCCAACATTGTCTCATTTGGGACATGAAGACCACAGAGTGGATCAACATAGCAGTTCTCAAGAAGATGCTGAATTAATGGTTTCAGATATTTCTCTGAGCAGGTCAATGTCATTTTTTGGATGAGTTTTAAACTTTGAAGAAGTTCAATGTGGTCTTTGTTTGTCTGATAGTCTGCAAATTTGTTCTCGTAGTGAAAGAAGAGATCTTCATATCCTGATATCCACTTGAGTGACTGGGAGTTGAAAACTGTCAATACTTTATCTTTTGTGAGAAGAAGCGGAAGTCCATTGAGTAAATTTGAATTGTCTTGGGTGACCTTTTGTGAGGAGAAATCTTTTAAACAAAAACTCAAGAGCTCCGAACATCTTTTCTCATCTTTGATCAAAGTAGCACTTATGGGTAAAGGCAAATCCTTATCTGTTTGGGTTGGATCATTGAGAGGCTTTGCTCGTAGGAAAGTCTGCACAGAGGAGGGACTGACCTCTTTCACTTCAACCCCAGCAGATCTGAAACTTTTCCAAATCCTCTGCATGTTTGTGGAATAAGGAACCAGATTCATTCCAAGATCTTCCAAGATGGGCATCAGCTTGTAGTTTGTCAGGTTTGTCAGATAAGGGTCCTCAAGTGAGTCTGTTTCACTGACATTACACCAGTCAAAAGAGTATTCTTTAATTTTTCTATCTGCAATTTTCCGTGTTGAGCTCTTCATCACAGGGATTACATCAAGGCCTTTTTCTTTCAGTGATCTGTATACTCCATGTATCATTTCATGCCAGTCTGGGCAAACATCCTCGGACACAGTTGGCCAAAAACACAAGTATTCTGTACTGAAACATGAGTCAATAAATGTAAGGGAAACTTTCTTGACTGCAATGCTGCGCCTGATGTAATGCAGGAGGTCTGCATAAAGCGGAGCAATGACGTTCTGTTTCAAAATCTCATTCCAGTTTGATTTCTTACTCTTCCCATCTTCTTTCCAAAGGCTTCTCCTGGCAGAATCAACCTCAAAGTTTCCATTTACATGTACTGGCAGTCCAGTTTTCCCTGGCAAAGGAAGTGAACAAAAGGCTTCTCCTTTAAAATCCATGACGCTGGATCCCTTTGTGTTCACATGTGCAGCTAATGATGCTTGGGGAAGTTTGTCTGATAGTTTTAATTCAAAGCTGTCTTTGAAGGAGCCAAACTGTTCTGCAACAATCCACTTACTTTGTCTTTTATCTGAGGTGGAAATCACAGTTTCATAGAAAGTCTTTTGTGTTGCTAATTTGTCTGATTGCAGTGCATTTTGTAGATGTTTCACAAAAGCATCTTTCTCGTCCCGACTTTTCTGTGGCAGATTTTTTTCAACCTCAAAGATGGTTTTAAGTCCTCCTGAATCGTCACTGATTTCATGGACTTTGATTTTGCAGATGTTTTTCAGAAAGAGAATTAGTCCTTCAGGATCTTCAGACAGGGCAGAGCACAGTTCTTTCATGTCACGGTCAGTGACTCCTTGCTGTGATATTTTGGAGGTATTTGCATTTGTACCCATTCTCAGAGGTAATCTGAACATGGTGCCGTCTTTAAGAGAAAATTTGTCTGGAAGAAAGGATTTGTAGACATCTACGTACATTTCTTTGAAAGTGTCAGCTAGTTTATAGCCAATGCCATATCGTGGTTTATTTGAATGATTTTCAATGTATTTTTGATTGGGGTCAGAAATGCAAAGTACTTCATCTCCTGTAAGGATCGAAGGGCAGTCAGTCAGATGGTAAACAGAGTTGAATCCAACTCCGTACTTCCCTATCTTCCCTGGGGTGCTGTGCTTTCCTCCCTCTCCCAGCCGTTGAATTCCCTTAATGTCAGCATCAGAAAACACTTTGTTGTTGAACACACAAAGTGCTGGACCCTGGAGATTGTTCCATTTCTTCCCAAATGTTTTTACTTTCCCATGTTGTCTTTTGTCCCAGATGAAGTGAATTTCTGTTGCTTCTGCATCATCAGCATTTTGGATGAGCTCTTTAAGGATATCCTTCTTTGATGGATAGGCTGAAATTATGTTTTTAATACGAACAGTCAGCTGTTCCTGCTGTTCAAACTCAAAAGCTAATGGTGTCATTTCATCAACTATGTGGTTTTCCAGAGAATGATGCCTTGTTGTTTTGATTCCAAGGTGGCGAGCCATAACACGTGGGATATTGTCGTGACATAATGTGACACCTGAAGTGAGTGGCATCCATGGGCTGTCATTGTAAAACAGCTCACTAGCAAACTGCAAAACTCCATGCTCATTGGGTATGAGACAGTCATCCGTGATTTTGACTTTGGCCTCAAATATCCCTTTGTTTAAAATTGTGAGGCAAACTGAGAGATCACTCTTTGGTAGGGGCTTGTTTCCATGTTGAACTTTTAATTCCTGCAACACAGTTAGAAACTGAGTGGTCGTAAATTGTTTTTCAACACCTATACATGTCCAGAGGTTCGTGAAGCTTGTGAAGGCAGCTGGAAGTACGTGGAGATAGGGCTTTGCTTCAAATTGCCCGTTCTCAGCTGCACGATCAACATTCACAAATGTATCGCCAATGAGGATGAATGGAAATGAACTTGCTTGTTGTGAAATGTAAGTGGCATTTCCAGAGTCACAGATCCACTGATCCAGACACTTATAGCACTCAAATGCTATTTTGTAAAGCATGGATCTGTCAATGGAGTGTGCTTGTTTGCTTCCTTCATGCAGCTGCTGGAGCACCACCTCTGGCTTCGGAGTGCTGTTCACGCCCAAGATCTTTAGGACTGGATCACTGTGGTGCATTTTCAAATTACTATTATCCAGCACTGGTTGTGTCATGTTAACGAGAAGGGAGCATTTGTCACTAAAAACATCAGTGGGCCTTTTAAGTGTTACATTTCCTTCCATTTTTGCATCACCAGGTGAATATGCTGGAAGAAATGCAGTTGTCCTGAGTGTTTTCCAGTGGTGAGAGTCTTCATCATAAATGTGATTCTTCATCAGTTCAAATAGACACTTCAAGTGGACAAATGCTTTCTTTTTGTCAATGCTCCAGGTTTTATTAATTGTGCCTGCTTTCTCTGTGATGTCTTCCAATGGGAGATGGTCATTTGCCATACCGAGTTCCAACAAACGCTGAATCCTTTTTGGAGATCTGAAGTCATTTTCGGATCCACCAAGCAAGCGTCCCTCTTTTGGTTCAAAAAGACAGGCCACCTTCCCTGTAGGATTCACAAGTTTCCTGACATGTTGGAGCTGTCCACCCTTTGTGGGTATGCATGGATAGCAGAGCAGCAGATTGTCAATTTCTTTGATATGAAGGTCAATAGCATGCAGCACAAGGGTATCTCTACTCTTCGAGTCCATTGTAGTTAGGTTACAAACACTGCTTCCCTGTAGAACTTCTCCCAGTTCCAGGTCCTGTTTTGTAAAACCTTTTCTAGGCCAGCCTGTTTGAAACTATTTCTCAGCCACAGTGGAAGAGGAACAACATGATTGGGTCCTTTTGCATATTTCTTGCAAACTTGAACTGCAAGGTCACCAATCTTTTCATCATTTTCAATGCTCTCATGTAGAAATATGGCATTGTTCATTGAGAACCATTGTTCTCCATCACTAAAGAGCTCTGGACCAACAGAGTCATCAACAATGGTTGAGTAAAGTGCATCCACTAAAGGCTTGAACGTTTCAGTCACTTTCTCTCTATCAGGCCAAAATGTGTGATAACAGTAACTCACCAGCTGCTTATTTTCTGACATTTTCTTTAGTGCCTTGAGTACAGTAACATATGCTGTCACTACTGGATCCTGAAGGAGAGCTTTGTTCCAGTCATTTTTCACTCCAGTTTCCCACAGACCTTTTCGGTTGCTTGTCACAGCAAATGTGCCATTTACATTGACAGGAAGACCTGTGTGAATGGGAAGAGGAAGGAAGCAAAAGGCCTGTCCAACAAGATCTGTTTGTAATATGGTGAATTTTCCAGTTTCTGGATGATTTTGCAAGGGCACAGCAATCCCTCCAATGGGCAAAGAGAAACTGGCCTGCTTGTTTTTGTGAAGGGCCATTTTAAAGGACTCATCTGTCCCAAAGCAGTTGTACAGGAGCCAGGACTGAAGTTCATTTTCATTAGACTGCTGACTGGATATTTGGATAATTCTGACTGTGCAAGATTCAATTAGTCCTTTGCATTTACCATCAACTTTCATCAGTGATTTCTCAGCATGACGTTGCTTGGACACACTGGTGTCATCAGGAATCTCCATTGCACTCACAGTGGTTTTGGACACAGAGAAGATGGTCTCTATTTCGTTTTCTGTTGGTGGAGTTGATCCATTGTGTGGGATATTTTGGAGGGATAATGTAATGATGTTCTTTAAAAAAAGCAGATGGGTTTGTGAGTTTTTAGAAAAGTGATGTTGAAAATCAAGGATATTGGGTTTTTGATACACATTTGTGCTTATTTCTGATTTGACAGCTTCTTCTTCACTTCGGAAAGGTAGTTTGATCAGAGTGCCTGGATAGGGTTCAGGAGGACTTTTTCTGGTAAAATTACAGTCAAAAATGTTTTCATATGATCCAAACTGACCAGGAAAACAATGAAAGAGATGCTGTTGAGAGAGATCCAGCTTGATTCCAGGATTTGATTTATGTTTGATATGTTTTGTGAGATGAGTAACATTTGGATCAAGTATGAGAAGAGTGTTGCCACTAAGGATGGAGGGGACATCTGTCACATGATACACAGTGTTGAATCCAAGTCCAAACTTTCCAATTTTTTCCACTTTGTTTTCCTTTGAGGCTGAGCCAACTCTGACAATATTTTTCCAATCCTCTGCTGTGAACTGCTCATTATTAAAAGCCCAAAGACAAGGTCCCTGACAAAGAGCCATGTCAGGGTCAATCAGGCTTTCAGGGGCATCTCTGTGTACTCTGAAATCCACCAAGAACTTGCAAACATCTGCCCCAGCATCCTCTGCATTCTGGATGAGCTCTTTGAAGATGTCACTGTCTTCATCGTACTCTTTAAGAATGTTTTTTATCCTCATTGTTATTGGTTCAGATTGTCCACACTGCTCTATTCCTATCTCCTCTGGATCAAGGATGTGGGTACTGAGAAAACGAATTTCCAGCCATTCAGCTGCTGCTTTTGGGATTTCCTCATGTATGACATAAATTTCCTCTTCTCTGCAGTTTAGTTCTTTTAGTCCATTTTTGCTTACATCACAGAAAAGAGCTGTTGATCGTGGTTTAAGGGTAAATTTTCCTCCCTCAGCAATGACTGGCACTGGGATGTCATCCTGAACTGTTTTCTTCTCTTTCCAGAGCCAGTTGAGAATTTCTATTGACACTTTGACCTCTGAGGAACTTGCAAATGGCGGTTGTCTTGCTTCAATTGTTTGCTGGACAGAGTACAGAATGCCTAAAATGTCTTCACTGGAAAGTACTTTTCTCAGGCCAAACTTCTGGAACAATGTTCTGTATGGCAAAAATTCACTTGGCACCTTCCCAATGTAAGAACTCAGATCTAGATTATTTGGGTATTCAAGAACCAGATCCTGGGGTGCAACAAACTGGTTGTGAGTCCATAGCCAACATGTCTCATTGCCCATCATTGTAACAAATACAGAGACATTGTCTTGCATGTGTTTGTAAATGCTGTGCAGCTGTCTTTTGAAGTCTACATCTGTGTCAGGATTAACCATTTCCAGTGCTTTTGATTTCAAGACTGACAGATTCTCAGTCACTTTTTCAGGTGGTGGTAGGTCTTTGAGACCAAGTCTGTTGCTAACTCTGTCACTGAGCTTCCCTGTTAGTGGCATTACATGTCCAACAATGTCCTTATACACAGAATGTCTTATTTCATTTGGGCAAAACAAACAATACTTCTGAGATTTATCACTGAATTGTTTCTCACCTCCAGGTTGTTCACATGGGATCCATTTAAGCATTTTGAGGCAATGAAGCTGTCTGTGAGAAAACTTTGACAGTAAATCATTACTTTCCAATATTTCCAACAGAACCTGAGCTCTTCTCAGAGCCTCGATTTGTGAGTTCATGCATAGTTTGTCAGTCAGCGTGGCAGCACGTAGCAAATGTTCAGGTGAGACATCCATCTCTTTATTCAGTAATCCGATTTCTGTTAAGCTTTCCAGCATCTGCAGTGAATGAGTGTATGAAGGCGGTGGAAAGAAGTCTGACTCAAAGATGACTTTAAAAGTCGGAATTCTTGGATCAAAAAAGTCAGATGCCTTTTTCAGCTGTCCATTCACCTCAATGAAGCTCAAGTCCTTACAGCTAAATTTCAGGGATTGGTTTTGTGAGAAAAGCACCTTACCATGCTGTAAAATCCAAGTCATTGTTTTGTTAGTGTTGTCACTGCTGCAAGCGCCTTTCCTTATGCTGTCAACAAGAACATTGGCTGCTTCGGCAGTGTCCAAGAGATGAACTTTGAGCAGCTGTAACAGTCTGCGGTCAGTCTCAGTAGAACACTGGATTATGGAATCAGGCATAGGGAGCTCTGTTGGTACTGTTAGGCCTGAGATCAGAAGCACAGCTTGTTTTGATTGAGCTGCAACACTGAATCCTTTCATGGTTTGAAACAAAGGCAACTTCAAGAGAAAATCTTTCTCTGCTTTTGAGAGAGAATCCAGATGAGAGAGATAATCTTTTAGTTCATTGTGTGCTGTGTGGGAGGCGGATTTGAGTTCTGTGACAAGATGCTGGAAATCTAAATTCATCAGGACCTTCAAAACACTCCTTGGAGATGGGCACAGCACGTACGAGTCAAGGTCTTCATGCTTGAGCCACTCATTTCCTCTCACCACTGTCCCACCAACTTTTTTCACCAGCTGAGCTATTCGGTCTGGCAAATTCAGCTGTTTACTTTTCTGAAAGATCAGAGTTGTGTTCTGCTGTAGTTTTGCTACTGATACAGTCTGACTGCCAGACAGAGGACTAACTGGTATTAGAGGTATGTCAGTGAAAGGACTTAACTCATTAAAATGATTGTTGAGAAACCTCCAGAATTCTTGAAACCAGTCTGAAGGTGGATGCTGACTGTTGTTGTTGTCCCATGCAACAACGTTCTTCCCTGTCTGCTTCCAGTCTGGTGGCAAATATCGTCTTGCATATTCAGCCAAATGGGATGCATCAATGTTGGTGACCTTGAAGAAATCTGAAGAGCAAATTAAAAAGATTTTTTTTTAAAGTTAAGAATAAATGTGTGTGCTAAAATGTTTAGCTGTGTACAAATGACTCTGCATTGTTTAAAATTACTTTCACTTACTTCTTCTGGCCAGTTCTTTCAGATGTGCACTGCAGGCTGGAGTCAGATCATGTGGGATGAAGAAGGGTTTACAGAATGGCAGCAAGACTCTATAAAAAAGTGCAATGGATTCTGTCAATCAAACTGTTAGGAGTTCATTCAGTATAGAAACATTCCTGAACCTTCCAAATATTCAGTTACAATCAATATGTGAATAACACATAAAAATGGCAACTTTAGTCATGATAAATATAACATTATTTTAAATATTGATAGATGTATGGAAACCCTACCTTGGACATTCATGGCTGTCAATCAAAGCAGTGTCTTCCTCTTTGTATGTGAAATATCTGAAAGAGCCATCACTGAGTGGAAGGAGGTGAAGACCCTCAAGTTCTTTGTATTGTTCATCACCTAAAATGTACTCCAAAAGACTGAGTTTGTCATCTTTAGTGATGTTATCCACACCAGTCCTGTGGAGAATGGCCCTGAGGAATGCTGGAGTCACATGTTTTAGGGTAGCAGGGTTTGGGTAGGCCTCATTTATAGCCCTCGCAACACTAGCTGGTAAAGTGACAAGATTTTCTCCACATGACACTAAAGCCCTTTTAATGGCAGACAATATGTTGGTGCTTGTTGGGCCATTGCAGGGGAAAACAGCTTCTGATGGAGAGATAAACTGTCTTTCATCTTTAGCAAGAGAGAGGATGGCCACGTTCTGTCTGAATAAGTGATGAAAAACATCCAGAGTGAGAGCATGCCATTTTTCTTTGTGTTGTATCTGAGTGAGATCTGGCCACAGATTGTACACAGAGGAAACAGGGAGGATAGAGTTTTGGGCAAGTTTAATGGCATCTTGAATGATCTTGATGTATGCTTGTGGAAACACCTTCTTCATCAGCATTTCATTCCACAAAGCATGTTCATCATGTCTCTGGTCTTCCTCTTGCCATTTGATGTGTCTTCTATTGTCTGTGAGGCCAAAGCATGCATTGACATAAACTGGGAGTCCTGTCTTATTGGATTCATTGTTTGGAAGGGGGAGAAAGCAGCTCAGTCTGCTCTGGCTACAGTCTCTCTTCTCACCACAGGGGAATGCCAGGTCAACTTGAGGTAAAAAGCTCAACTTCTTTGTAAGCAAATCAAGATCTTCTACAACGCCCTCTTTCATGGTACATGTTGTCAGAAGCCACTTTGTCTCTTTTTGGTCTTTTGAACTCACAGTTATAACTTTGAACCTTGTTAGACCCTCAATGACTGACTCCTCTTCTGGCTCCAAAACATCATCTGTGGGGACTGAGGATTTCACTTGAAGTCTGGTGTTAACAGCTCCATCTTTACTAATATGTAACAAGGACACGGAGGTGACATTTTTCAAGAAGAGGAGACTCAAATCTGCATCTGCAATGAAGCTATCAAAAAGCTCAACCACTTTATCTGAGTCATACAGATTATCAGAAATTTCTGATTCTTCATTGCGTAAAGGAAATCTAAAAATTGTCCCATTGAAGTGCTGATCCTCCATGACAACTTTTGACCATCCATGGTCACACACATGTGAGACTATATCTCTAAATGGCTGAAACTGATCACGCATATTCAGCAGAACTTCTTGGTCTTCAGCATCATCCAAAGACCACCGAAACCCTCCACTTCTCTCTCCAAATACTTTTTCTTGGGGATCCATCATGCCAAGGTGGCCTGAACTGAATATACTTGGAACATCTATGAACAAAGTAAAGATATGCTACTGTCAATTGTTTATTTAAAAAAACATTACTCTTATCAAGTGTGATAACTATACATAGTTTCACCTGTTATGTGGTAAACAGAGTTGAAGCCGATTCCAAATCTCCCGACTTTGTTCGGGTCGTCACGCTTGACACTCCTTCCAGCCATCTGAATTCCTCCCCAGTCGTCCTCAGTGAATGCGGCATTGTTGTAGGCATAGAGAGCAGGACCTTCGTAAAAATAAAACATTCTCATGGATTGGTGATAATACATAAAAAAAGAAAAAGAAAGACTGAAAAAAAAAAAAAAAAGAGTTACATCCCCCCCCAACAATCTATTTTCCTTATTGTCTATTTTTGTTCATTTTAACATTTTTTCATGTAAAAGTAAAAGAAACGTTAGAAACATGTTTTAGAGAAAAGGTTTTTTATTTATTGTTAATCAATAAATACCTTGAAATTTTCCCAGTTCTTCAGTCCAAAGGCTTTCAGTCCCATAGCTTCGCTCATCATGGATGAAAACCACTTTTGTGGCTTGAGCATCATCCGCATTTTGAATCAGTTCCTGATTGACCAACAAAACCAACTATTAACATTAGACAGCCAATGGAAGCTAGTAGGGCTGCAAAAATTCATCAAGTAATTTAATTCTAAAAAACATTCGACACAAATTCTTCTATGCTGTGTTTAACGCACGGCTCTGTAGCGCGCTCATTTGCCAAACAACGTAAATGCTAGCTTTTCAAAAACACTGATAACACACAATAGCAGCAGTGATGTTGATGTTGGCACAGTTTAATGTGGAGCCAGAGTCTGTTTACACAGAGCAAAGAGTCAGAGCCATTACCAAGAACGGTGAGGTCAGGATGAGCGTCCAAAACAGCAGGGCTGTTCCTGTAATTACCATTAAAACCTTTACTGGAAAAAAGCTCCTGGGAGTTTAGTCTGACACCAGACTGGTAAAATCATCATTTAATTTCATAAAAGCGATACCTTCAGCAAACAGGGGTGAGGCTAAAGGAGGAGATGGGGTGTACCTGACCTGAGGGTTTTTAAACTTACCTTTTAATAATGTCAGAAAATCTTCCAACAAGACAGAGTAAAGGTACATTTTTATTCCTTAGTTTACTTTGTGATTGAGATTTTTATATATCTTTTGCATTTAAGAAACTGTTTTCTTTAAAAGCTAAAATTTCAATATAGATTTTATTTTATTTATTTATTTTTACAGATCTTGTATGCAGTTAAACTTTAAAACATTGCAGTATGTAAAATTAAAACCAATGCACTCCTGGTTCTTTCTCTTTTGATTATTTATTATTGCTCATTAATAAGACAAAAGTATTTCTTATCAATTACTCGAATAATCAATTGAATAATCGATAGATTACTTGATCCCTAAAATAACTGATAGCAGCACCCCTACAAGCAATTTTTCCTTACTTTAGCAGGAGAGGTGATGTGAACAATGGTTTTGTTCCAAGAAGCGTCCCATCTCTCCTGTGAACCAGCATACTAAACCTTGAAAGTGACTCGTTTAAATGGGATCTAGCCCTGCTTTAATTAGCCATTTAGGTTTCCTACTGTAACATCATATATTTTGAATTATTTAAAAAACAAGAATTGGATGCACAAGGTTGAATTTATTTTAGATTTTCTCTAATCCACAGAAGGCCAAAATATAACATATAATATATATATTATATCCATCCATTCATTCGCTTCCGCTTATCCTTTTCAGGGTCGCGGGGGGCGCTGGAGCCTATCCCAGCTGTCATAGGGCGATATATTATATACATACAGTAACTTAAATCTTTTAAGTGCTACTGAAGGTTCTACAGTGTCTTTTACAATGCCAAGGCCTATTAAATTCTTATCATCATTATTAAATCATAACTGGCTACAACTGAAAGTTTACAGGATTTACATTTATTTCTTACAGACCTTGGTCTGTGAGAAGACCCAAAGACCCATTTTTGCCTCGCCCTGGACTTAGAGGGTGCTAACAAAGAAAAAAGCACCTGCTCCAAAATTTGCACCTTCTGCGCAACTAAAATTTGCAGCTTCCCACAAGGACAAGCCAAATACATTCAGGAGAAAAGTTTTATAGTCAGACGAAAACAAAGATTCTGGTATTTGGCCACAATGAAAAGCAGTCAAGCTGAGTCTTTCAAACCTAAGAACAGTGTGCCAGTTTGTCAAGCATGATGTCAATAGCATCATGCTTTGGGGCTGTTTTGCTGTGGTACTGGTACATTACACGAAGGGGATGGAACATTGAAAATTGACTACTTTAAAAATTCTTCAACTTTACATCCAATCAACAGTCAGACAGTTAAAATTTAAACACCATTGAGTGTTCTAACATGACAATGATCCTAAACGCACATCAAAACCGGTTTTGAGATGGATAAAGAAGGCTAACTTAATATATATCTTTGACCCTTGGTGGATTAGGGGAAATCCAAAATAAATCCAAACTTGTGCATACAATTCTTAGTTTTCAAAGAAAAAATTATCCTGACATTCATGCCCCTGTGTATGTAAACTTCTGAACACAACTGTATACTATTAGTGTTGAATTGTACCGTATTATATTTTCACATTTTCTTCCAACATTAAAGCACACAAAAAAGGCAACTGAGTATGCAGAAGAACCCTAATGTACATGGTGCTTATGTGGTGCAAGTGGTGCAAAACCTCAGAAAAAACAGAATTATAGTAATGCTTGCAGTCAGTTTGCAGTTTACATCCATGTTTCCAATAATCCACTAATTTGATCCCTATCCAAGTCAAGCATCTAGGATAGAGAATGTTGTTTGTGGTACAGATCTTGAAGCTCAAAAAACATGTGCTCACGTTTGACCTGTAAAGCTGATTCCACACACAAGTTTATAGCTATGATAGCCAAAAGAGTTTTAAATATATTTGTGACTACAAAGAAACTGTATCCAAGCAGCAAAAGAGATCAAATAGTCAGACAATACTCACAAGGTACACATCCAGGATTAGTGTTGCAGTATTGAACAATAGCCAGAAAAGTGTTTTGTTTTTTTTAAATATTATGTTACTGTAAACCAGAAATTTGACCCTTTAGATATAAAATATCATCATTTCCTAAAACGTATCCATTTGTGTAAAATTTGGTCAAAATTAGTTTATGAGTTCTTCACACTATGAAAGTTGGACACAAGGGCGTAGATTTGGTTTTGGCATTGGTGGGGACGGATGATTCAACCGCCGAACTCTGCCCTGTTTCTTTTTTTTTTCCTTTTTGTTTTGGCTTCTTAATAAAAAGAGGAGAAATATACTTGCCTACATATGCTATTCTATGTGCTTTTAAACCATTTAAAATCACAATTCATAGTTTTATATGTGAATTATATAATGTTAAATTACTATTAAACAAATGACTGACTAAGTATTTTAGGCTTTAGTTTACTTCAGCCATAATCCATATAAATCAGGTATCATACAAAAATAAAAATAGCTTCAAATATAGTCATGACAATAAAAGAATATGACTTTAAGGACTTATCATTAGTTCAGTTATAGTACACCAACATCTCTGATACATTAGCACTAAGGGAACACTGAATGACCTGGTGGTTTTTGTCCATAAAACTACAAGTCTAAGATTACCACAAAGTAAAAGATCTCTCAGCAAAATTATGCAACAGTTTAGGCACTATTGCCCCGATCAAATCAGTGAGCTGAGATTTTCTATTCTAAACATGAGCTACTGTTACAGCAACAGACATGGACTACTGGTGCCCCACACAACAACTCAATGTCCACTATGTGAAGGAGCCAAACACATGCCTTCTCCTCTCGTTAACTGAGATAAACTGCTGGCATATTTGTTTTACATCTATACTGTCCAGTCTCTCCTGGTGGACATGGCATACAGCAGCATTGTTTAATCTCATTTGAGTCATTGTTAACCTTAGCCATCTTTTTAGTCTTCTGAGAGCACTGAAGCTTCTTTCATGTGTACATGTGTTTTATCCTCAGATTACAATTATTATTCTGTGCTTGACATGCCTCATGTTTGGCCCTGGCTCTTCCCCTCTGACTGCACTAGGACATATTGCCACCTGATAAAATAACACATTGATTCATGCCATATAAAAAGTGAGACATGTCAATTCAGATTCTTTGTCAAATATACACTAATGAAACAATTTACATCAGCAGCCTAACAACTGTCATGATAATAAATACTAGTTAATCTATAGCACCAAAACATCAGTCAGTCACCTGTGACCTTGCCTCTTCACCTCTGTCTGAGCTACAACATGGCAGAGCTGCCTCTGTCACCTGATAAATAACAGTGAGACATTCCAAATACATGCAGTCACACATGTGCTTCAAATACAGTAATGAACCAACAAGTTATCATCCAATTTCACCTGTGATCTTGTATCACAAATAGAACATACATGACAATAAGAATAAAATGTGGAGCTGCTTCAGTGTTTCTGTCACTTTGTGCAGATCTTGACTCATCAGTAATGTTTGTAGGATGAGTGCATTTTTAAAACAATTTGTGCAAACTGCACTACAAGGTGGATATTTGCAAAATCATGACTACCTCATGACATTTTGTCTCAAAAATTAACCTATGAATATGTCAGTACCATTAGGATGAAATTATTGTGTCACCAACATTTTAACGTTAGACATATAATTTTAACAGCCTCTATAAACTAATATCCTGGCTTGCTCAAAGCTGCCGTTTTCTCTGACAGTTTCAATCAAAATTAGAAATGCTGCTCTGAGACCGAGATAACTAATAGTGCTGCCTGTTGTGCAGTTAGTTTCCAAAACACGTTATTCATGGTTACATACAATTTTTGACTGATGTGGGCCAAAGCCTGTAACGTTATTATGATGGACACATTTTATGAGTTAATTTGCCTTTAAGCGACTTACAGGTTTCTTTGAAAAATACTTATATCCAGGTTCTTCCTTTTTGCTGCCAGCCTCCTCTCCTCCTCGCAGCGCAGGTTTGCCGCTGCTAAAACTAAACAGAGCTCCCTGAAAGGCACAGCCAATCACATTGGCCATATTTGTCACATGAGGTAGGACTCCAGTAGAGGACGTAATTTAACTCTTTCTGCACTGCTGGGTGAATGAGACGCTGACAGATCGGTTTTTTTTTTCTATCGGGTTTGATTTTCTTTACTCGAATAGATCAAATTATTGGTGGGGACAATTCAATAATCGCTGAATATTGGTGGGGACATGTCCCTTCTGTCCATGCCAAATCTACGCCCTTGGTTGGACAGAACCACGGTGACATTAGTCATTGAAGTCTGTTATGAGGCCACAATCTTAGTGTTTTCTTTTTGCTGTCATTTGTCTTGTTATTTTTTGGAAACCGGGTGCACAATGGTGCATCTTAGTGTGAAAATAGTGTTTTTTAATAACAAGGAGTTAGCCCGTTACCCTCCTTTGTGACAATTTAAATGATCACATAATGATTTATTTAAAAGTTATTTACAAAATGGACTTAATGTTTTTTTTATCAGCAAGGTACAAAATGCCAAAATAAGTAACTGAGACAATTCAATCATTAGGAAAGCATTTACTGATCAGAGCCAAGGGACAGTTTTGAAACCGGATTTCTAAAGGACTGAAAATCCTTTTGCAACCCCATGAAGTACTTCAAGAAGTAACTGATGAAATGGGCTTTTGGCAAAACATTACACAAACCTTCAAAATTTGTCCGCCATCTGGATATCGACGTAGAATATCTTTCAAGTAGTCAATGAAGGGCGGTGCTGTGGCCCCGAAAGAAGTCCTATAAAAAAGCAACAGTATCAGCAGAGAAATTAAAAAGCACTGAGTTTGAATTTTATTTAAATTGAATTTTATTTAAACCAAAGTGATACACTGATTATAGGAACGAGCTACAAGCTTGTGTATTTTACTTGTATTCTTAGCCATAAAGTTCTCAACTTTCAATCAGATAACAGCTTGTGATGAAATCAGAAGACACTTTATGGGACAATAAATTTAAAAGGGGCAGGTACTTGATGTAATTTGGATGATAAAACGTTGAATATGAACTTTGCATTCAGTATGTAATTTTAGGGAACTGGTTACAAATTTTTGAACTCATTCATGGAGATGAATGAAGATGTGCACTCAAAGACTAATAAAAACATTTCATATAGTGATTCAAATAATTACACACTGAGCAGTAATTCAATTCAATAAATAATTTGACCTACAAGTAAAATGAGAAAATAACATTGGCGCCAAAAATCATATTAATATGTATCAGCACTTCCTACAGTACTATAGAGCCACACATTTTTTGCGTACAGTACTTCCTACAGAAATACTGTTCTGTAGGAAGTGCATAGCAGTATTTCCTATTGTTTTATATACAGTAGGAAGAACTGTATACATAACATTAAAGTAAAATCAAAGTAACTCACCGAGCTTTCTTTTTTGCTTTCAGACTCATTGTTCCAGGGTTGGTTCCTGTAAGAAATTCAGGGTATTGTGAGCAGAACAAAGTCATATAACATATCCTCTTGAGAACCAGCCTATTCGTTTATGTCCTCTGTAATAGACATTTGTTTTTTGGTCTACATCTTTTGACTTATTTGAGATATCCCACTAAGTCCTGATGTACTAAATAGAGGACATTCTGGGCTTTTTATTGATATCTCATGTGTTTGGGTGGCCTCTAAGAGGAAAGAAATATACACGATCGCTGAATAGCAGCCAACTTCCTGTTAACTCATTCACTGCCATTGACGTCTATAGACGTCAATTGAAAAACTTAAGTTGACTGCCATTGAAAAACTTACGTTGACTGCCATTGAAAAACTTACGTTGACTGCCATTGACGTCTATAGTTGGCAGTCAACGTTTTTCAATTGACGTCTATAGACGCCAATTGAAAAACTTACGTTGACTGCCATTGACGTCTATAGACGTCAATTGAAAAACTTACGTTGACTGCCATTGACGTCTATAGTTGGCAGTCAACGTTTTTCAATTGACGAAAAACTTACGTTGACTGCCATTGACGTCTATAGACGTCAATTACGTTTTTCAATGGGAGGGGCTAGAATACAACCTCGGGCAGCTTGTCAGTGAATATCATCTGCTTGAAATGTATTTTTCACAAAAAGCTCGTTTTCTCCCTTTTTTTGGTCAAAACAGGCATTTTTGGTGGAACCCACCTCTCTTCTACAGCTGATTACTAAAGAATGGAAAATGGTAGAAACAAGCTTTTTTTTTGGATGAAAGAAGAGAGTCTGTTCTTCATTTTGGTAGGTTCAGCGTTTATATGATCATAACACACAGTTTTCTGTGGCTCTTCAAAAATGAGTAAAAATGCTCAAAAACCCTGGCAGTGGGGAGTTACCTGATTTGAAAATGGCTGGCAGTGAATGAGTTAATCAGCTTGAATTTAAAAAATCAAATATGCTACCTACACGCTGCAATGATTTGTAGATTACATATTGTGATATATGCAACTTATAATACTCTAAGTTGTTTTATTATGTATGTTGTATTCTTGTACAGCACTTTGGTCAACGCTCCTGTTGTAATTAAATGTGCTATATAAATAATTAAACTATTAAACTATTAAAGAGCCACACTTTGTACATATTTGCACATCCTTTAAGGAGTACATTATACTAAGTAGCAGTGTTGGGTAAGTTACTTTAAAATAGTAACTTAGTTACATTACTAGTTACTTCTCTCAAAAGTAACTCAGTTACTTCAAGTTACTCGTTACTTTCAAAGTAACTAGTTACTAGGGAAAGTAACTTTGGTTTTACTCAGAATTCTCTTGTTAATGTGTTGCTTCCATAACTTTGCCAGTCTTCTAGCTTGCTTACTTGCCACAAGTGCACTGTGCCACCTACCAATAGAAAGGAAAAGATAATGTGCATATTTCCACGAGAGAAATCCCACGCCTGGACCGTCATTGACTGCTGCCATGATTCTAGCCTACGTCACAGCGTCATGTGCGCCTTTTACATCCAACACAAAAACTGCAGTCGTGGTGCTTTCGATTGTACTCAGAACTCGGAAATTCTGCCTTCTGAATAGGAAGATGTAGGTAACACCAGACTGCAGATGAGCTGCATACAGGGCTGGACTGGGACAGAAAATTGGCCCGGGCATTTTGACTAGAGACCGGCCCACCATTATAGGAAAAATCATAAAGCCTTTGAATGAAAACAAACACTGTTGTGACAGTGATGTACACTGTTCTGATGGTATATATGCATCAATCTATCAATCGTTTGTTGTAAGATTCAGATAATTATTTTTTAAAAGCTAGACATTTTAAATGAGAATAAGAAAGAAAAGTATTTCTTTGTGCCCCCCTTTCCCTGTTAATGCCCTACATGGACCCCTGGCAACACTTTGCTAGACCCGCCCCTGCACAGTTACCAGCTGTCAGCTACCTAAAAAAGGATCCTGGTGTTATTTGTCTCTCAGAAACAGTTCATAACTTCCCTTCAACTCATTCATGTCACCTAAAAGGTAAACCTGTTTCTCCATCACCTGTTCAGCTCTGATGATCCAGTAAGGACATCTCCTGGTTTCATCTTCATGTTTCCCTCTCACCAGATAACCAAACCATATCATGACCAGCAGCTTTTTTGCAGCTGTGGCTCCAGCAAACATCAGCTGATACTAGAAATTAATATTAAATAAATTCTAACAACAGCTGATCAAGCTTAAACGTGCTGCTGTTGTTTAGCGCGACATCCGCTGGTTTCCTCTTTCGGCGCAAAGTGAGCGATAAACAAACAAGAGAGCCGATCAGCTGATCATTGATCAGTTTCATGATTGAAGTAGAAACGGGAGAGGGAGGGGGGAGAATGAAAGAAGAGGCAGCTGTGCAGCAAAGACACAGAATAACTCCAGCTTTGTGTCTTTTTCATTGTAGCTGAATTACGGGACAAACTGTTCCTTTTCACCTCAATAAGAAACGCGTAATATTTTCTCTGAATACCAGACGGGACGGTTGGCAACTCTAATAACTTATGAACAAAATAAAGTTCAACATCATTAACTTCATAGCACCACCCAGCTGTATAGAAACTCCGTCATGCTAGCTAGCACGCAGTACGAAAAAGTCAGCATAACGAAAATAAACTCCACCTAAACTTGGTTCATATCTGACCCAGAGAGACTGCAGGTCATAACTTCTTACCTGAAGTTCAGTTCAACTGACACTCTCGGACCAGCGGCCGTTTCGGGTCTCTCCTCTTGCCTCCCTTTTCCTTCATCCACCTGCTGCCTCCACCACTTGCTAATGTTACTGAATCTGTGGAAGCTCCGCGATAGCCACCACACGAAGTAACGAGTAACGAGCCTATCTAAATCCCAGTAACGACTAACGCGTTCCTGATTTTGGCATAATAACTAGTTACCGTGCTCGTTACCACAATAATAACGTAGTTACTGTAACGCGTTACTTAATAACGCGTTAGTCCCAACACTGCTAAGTAGGTAACTGCAATACCAATGATATTAAAAGATTAAAATCATAGTACCTCGCTGATGAAAGTGAACGGTCCCATCTGGTCCAGTTAAAGTAATGATCCTACATCAGTCTGATTTATATAAAGGCTGCTGATGGCCAATCACAGCGTGGCACGTGGACTTCTGCTCAGGTTTTGTTCCATTTTCTCCCTTATTCTGTTAGAAACGAAACTAAAAGAAACAAAAACAGCCACATTCTTCAAATGTTCTGAGTGAAACGAAACTTTCTGAGCATCTCGTGAAACTCATTCAGTGCTTCCCAGTGAGGACAGTTGTCCCGCCGCTCGCTAGATGATGCTGCAGCCCGTTTTTATCAGAAAACGGGCTGCAGCATCATCTCAAAGGAAAACGATAAAATGTAGACAACAGTGTTCCGCCGTTATTTAACTCTGGTTAATATGGTGTTTTTACCGCGTTCGCACGAAAAGTACTTACATTCAAGCACATTGCTTAGGAAGGATGAGAACGGTATGTGAAAATTGTTGTTTGTGTGCTGCTTGCGTCCGCAAATATCTTCCGTATTGTTTAAAACCAACCACGGCCTACAATAGTTGGTAGGCTGCTAAGTAAGCTAGTGCACATACTTGTTATATTCGCACAGGTCTTGTTGTCGCCTATTTGGCCGACAAGGAGCGCTAATGCGATCATAACCTATACAATATGCCCAAAAGCCGATGAAGGATATGCGGCTTATATTTCACCTGAAACAGCGATAAAACTGTTTGGTCAGTAAGCAGGGGGGCATCGATTAAACAGTGCGTTTCCCCCACAAAAAATAACAATAATTATGTCATGTTTGTCTCTCAGATGCTCCCATCATCTGTAGGACCGTGAAAACCCCTCCCCTGCTGCTGTGGGCGTAGATGGCACCATGCTGGATAACACCGGTGATCAAGTGGAGCAGCAGTCTGGGCGCTGCTCAGACTGTGGGTGCAGTTTTAATCTTTCACATCCTGACTCTGAGCCTGATTCCGATGACACTCCAGCCGATCCTAAACAGCAGAATAAAACAGACAGTTCTTCCAAATGCCCATCCTGCCAGGCAGGCAGCAGCCCCCAGAATGGACGGCGGCCACACCGGCGCATCCGCCTGGACCCTCACAGCTGCAGCCTGTGCTCCAAAACCTTCATCTCTTCCGCTCACCTGACCCTTCACCTTGCTTCTCACAATAAGGAAAGGAAGTTCAAATGTAACACCTGTGGCAAGTTCTTCCATCAGTCCTCCCACCTAATGGCACACAAGATAATCCACAGCGGAGACAGGCCGTTTAAATGCCCAGATTGTGGTAAGACCTTTGGGCGCGCTTCACACCTGAAGACCCACCGTCGACTCCACACAGGCGAAAAACCTTTTAAATGCACTTACTGTGACAAGTCCTTCACCCAGAAGGCTGGGCTCCTGGCACACGTTCGTCTGCACACCGGGGAGAGACCATACAAGTGCGAGCAGTGTGGCGAGGGCTTTCGCTCTTTGTCACTGCTGCTCTCTCACAAGGCTCAAGAGGCTTCCGGACAGGCCAAGTCACTGTCTCCACCACCGCTCAGCCAGCCTCAGAAAACACAAACCAACAGCGAAGATCTGAAATGCGGCGTCTGCTGTCGCACTTTTGTCAGGTCATCTTATATCAGGCTGCACATTCGCCTCAACAAAGGACAGCGACCTTATCACTGCAAAGTGTGCAACAAGACTTTTGTCAAACTGGAAACATTTGTGAACCACTGTGACAAACACCTGAGACAGAAAAAGGATAAAAATAAGGGGGTGGAAGACAAAGTCGTCAAACCTCCCCTGTTTGTTCCGCTCTCCAGGCCTTCTTCTCCTGAGTCCTTACCTGCTCAGCAGCTATCCCAGGAGGTCAACACACGCTCCAGAGCAAAAGCAAAGATTAAAACAGAGCCATAGCCAGAAGGAGAGCGTCAGCTGAGACAGAGATGGTGGCAGTAGTGTAATGTTGGTGTTTTAAAAGGTTAAATGTTTACAGATGATGGTAAGAAAGGGACAAACACCAGATTGGTAGTTGAAACAGTTCCAATTTTTATTTAATTTATATCAATGTGAGTGCACTAATTGTTATTTTAAGATGGTGATTTCCATTGTGAGCAGTTATCTTTAAGCACTATAATATTTTTATTGAGGTATCTTTTAGGCTAATGTTTGTAACATTTCAGAGGCATACATTGTTCTGATCTTACAATGTTAAAATGAAAAAAAGGTCATATCTTAAACCATTGTAATTTATGGTTTTCGTTCATCTGTTCTTCTAAATGCATAAAAGCCTAGTGGCATGTATGTACAAACAATAAAAAATGTAAGTTAAATGCTTATTGTAAAACAATATGCCATTTGATGAAAAGTAACTTAGTGTGACTCAACCTTGTCTTTTTTTTGCACCTCAGTAAACAAAACAAACAACTGATGTTCCAGCTGTGCGACACAGCGCTGCTTTATGTAAAGTTCTTTTGCCCTTCAATAAAAATGAGCAGTAAACGTGCTCTTAGGGTGGTGTGATTGCAGCAATCGGGCTCATCACTATGATAGCAGGCATTCCTCTGGCACATTCATTGCAACATGTGAGCAACACACCAGTCCGCTTCAGCAGCAGTCTCACAGCCGAACAGTTTAATTTTATTAGACTGTTTTTCTATTTTAGATCTCCACCGGTGATGAGCGAATATGTGTCACCTCCACATGGGGAAACTCTTTGTTCCAGCCTAAGGACAGAGGGGAGGGGGAAACAGCAAGTGAACAACTTTATGGGCAGGGTTAAGTTAGGAGATTGTGCAACAACAATGCAAAAGACAAACAAAAGACCCTTCCAAAGAACACTCATATAAAAAGTAATAAAGAAACATTCCAATTCCTTATAATCAATACACATCTCAGATAAAGTGCATATAGTAAATGAAGATGTTTGCCTGGGAGTTGTCTGGATTGTCTGTGCTCCCTTTAATGGTCCAGTGCAGGGTAACGGTCATGTGGCGCCTCCAGACAGGATTTCTCTGGAGGACAATGGTTCCACTGATCGAGTCTCCTGCGCATACACTTACTGGCCTGTCTAGCATGAACAATGTCTGCTTCCAGTGTGTTGGCCTGTAGGGAAAAGGGACTAGTTAGTATAAAATCATATTTAACTAATTACGCATCAGATTTTTTTTGTGCTTTTCATGTTTTCACCCAGAGTTGGGGCCAGTGTTTAGCTCCACAGTTGCGCCTCCTGCCTCCAGGCTCTCGAAGCAAACAGTGAACCAGGCGGTGAATCCATGGAAAACTCCAGACTTCTCCACACAAAAATGAAACTGACCCTTCATTTCCTGAGAAACGAAACAGTCAAGCATTAGTAACAAAATCCAAGTTGGCTCATTTATAACTTTCTCATAAAAAAAAAAAAAAATGACCTCGAGGTCTCCCACTTGTAAAGTGTACATGTCGAGGGAGATGACATCACAAGGAGCAGCGAGGCAGTCACATGGTTCAATGATGTGGCTGAACTTGGGCTTGGTGAAGAACTCCTGCTGTGCCAAAGGCCTCCAGAAACAAAAGTATTTAGCACAAGGGTAAAATGAATTATCAGTGTACTCGTAAATTATTCTAACCTTATATATTTCTAGCCAATATGTGATGAACTCTGATATATAAAAATGTTAAATGCAGGAGCATCTTAACCTCCAAGTGCATTGTATTTAGTCAGCTAAACAAAATATTATTGTAAATACTGATGAACAAAAAACAAGTCCCCAGATGAAAAAGTTTCACGTTAGATTTCAATCGCAACATTAAAGATAAGTCAGTTATCCCTATTTCTGTACTGTAAAGCGCTATATAAGTAAACCTTATTTACTTGTTACAGAAATTTGTGGTAAAAAACCTGGCTATGTTACATTGTAATTGTAATTTACATGCATAAAACTGATGATGCCAAATTTTGTGTTATTATTTCAAAATTACAACTTACAAGATAATAACCTGAAAATCTGACATATCACTTTTCAGTAATGAACACAAGCTTTCATAGTTTGGTCCTAATACTGCCAGGTTTTTTTTTTTTTTACACTAGTGGAAATGTAGTAATGGGAACACACATTAAAAGAGTGATCACTTACATTTTGGGGCTATTTATCACCAACCTATCAATATTCAATCAATAAAAGTAATTTCACTTTGTACTGGTGACAAACTACAGCGATTCCTACGTTTAATTGATCGGGCAGCGGGACAGAACAAGAGCTGAAACTGACTCTTCATTTCCTGAGAAGTTTAAAGTTCTAGAGCTCTAACGTGCTGCTGACATGGTAGAAACAGCAACACAGACAGCTCACTGAGCAGTAATACAGAAATATATTTATTGTACTGCTCTGTGTGCTTGTGATGATCAAATCACCAGAGTAGAGTTTTTGAAGAAATAATCTCATATTATTTGCAGCTCCAGTGCTGCATTTTGCTCTCATCGTTTTATAATCTTTACATATTGAGGTTAGATGCTCTTATATTGTTGATATTGTCCCTGATTGCACCATGCTGTCCACAGCTGATTTTGTGTGGAAAAAGAATGATGTGTAAAAGACTTTTTGTGTGAACGTGCACAGAGCCTGAAGCAGAAAGACTGGCTGTTGATAGCACAGCATCATGAAGCCTCTTATCTCAGACTGGGGTTTTAGTTTCTATCAAGCCAGCTAAATCAAGAAAGCCTGGATGTGTTGAACTTTCTTTGCAATATAAGTGTTTAAGGCAACGCATGAACTGGCACAAGGCTGTCTCTCAGATATGAATCAGAGAGGATGATTCATTCAAAGCTGGCCATCTAGTGGTAAAACAGATTTTAACACAAGCACATAAAGTAAGAAATCAGCCATTACTGGACTTAATAAAACACACACACACATCTACATCTATACATCTATACATCTATACATCCATACATCCATACATCCATACATCCATACATTCATACATTCATACATCTAAGATAGATAGATAGATAGATAGATAGATAGATAGATAGATAGATAGATAGATAGATAGATAGATAGATAGATAGATAGATAGATAGATAGATAGATAGATAATAGATAGATAGATAGATAGATAGATAGATAGATAGATAGATAGATAGATAGATAGATAGATAGATACACACAGACATACATACATATACACACACACAAACACACACATATCTGTAAGTGACAGGACATTCCTCACTGTCAACTGTGAACTAATGGCTCTTACTGAAGAGGAGTGAAGTCGAGGCCATATGGCCGCTCCCAGAAGGCCATTTTCTCGGCATAATAGCTGTCGGCCTGACATGGCACAAAGGTGAGGGCCGCAGAGGAGGGCCACATCGTACCACCATCTCTAAGCCAGCGGTCCCTGGCCAGCAGAACTGACTCCACCATGAACTCAAACTAGAGCACGGGGAAAAGGCAAAAAAAACAACAACGAAAGAAGCAATGTGGTATAGTAAAACCTGAACATGGGTAAGAGCAGAAAAGGATGTCCCACAACAATGTATTTTTTTTTAAAGTAGCAGGACAGGAAGTGTTATAATTACCAGAAGGCAGTTACCCATCCACTCAGAAACCAGGACGTCCACCTGTTCAGGCAGCTCGATCTCCTCAGCCCGCCCCTGAAGCACCGTGACCACCTCATCATAGCCGTTCTGCTTCACCAGCTGCCTGGTGTACTCTGCCATTGAGCTCGCCTCCACAGCATACACCTACAACACCACAGATAATCTCCTTCCGTGCACTCTATACATCATGCTGTTTCCTCAATGCAGCAACATTCTTTGTCCAGCAGATGGAAGTAGAAGTACACCAATGTTCAATACCTAACTGGTGATTTTGCTCCTCTAAGTAACCACATGAAAGATTTTACTTTTGGACCCTTAGATTCTAAGTCGTTTTTGTTATTTGGCAGGAAACTTAAACTTAACTCACAATATATGCAGATTTTTCCTCATTATTTAAAAATGAATGCAATCTCATTTCATTTAAATCTGATTTCATTTCTCCTTATAACACAAAATCCAAGATTCAACATTACCATTGAGGGGCGTGCCAACTGAGCGCAGAACAGACTGATGATGCCAGTCCCACAGCCGAGGTCCATTACCCTCTTGCTGCTGAGAGAAGCACTGTTGCTGAGAATAACCTGCCGGTATGCCTCAGTGCGGCTCTTGTCTGACAGCATCTCCAGGTGAAGCCTCTGTGTCGTAAAACATGACTAAATGAAACACAGTGCCTAAAAAAATATATGTACAGCAAACTGGCAGGTAGCCACTGGCAGTTTATTTAATGCTCAAAAGTTAGACATTTTTTTAACTATAATAAAATACTGATCAAAGCAGTGATCAGTCGCATAACTGTGCCCCTGTTAAACCTAACTCTTTATAATGAAAAGTGGCTTCATGAAATAAAACGTTAATTTCTAAATGGCAATATGAAATAAAATCAGACATATAAAATTTGCTTGAATTAAACAAGAGTTTTTGATAATTAATCGACTGATAAATAAACGACTCCAAATGGGATCCAAATAAATTCCCAAAACACAGCAGGGTCTAGTTACATGCTTTCCCCCCCTTGTTTATCAGGGGTAATGCATTCAAGAAAAGGCTTACATGTGTATATTTGGAAATCAGGGTCTAAAAGCAATCTTTTATCTATTCTGAGCATGGTTTCCCAGCATCTCAGGAGTAAATATATCACTGGAAACTCTGAATCATGCACCACTGAGGACCATCATCTTAAACCAGCACAGCTACATTGCAGGGTAGTGTCGACAAAAGACGATGCTTACTTAAAGTCTTAGTCGTTGCATGCTATAGTTACAATGTAAGACGCATGGCTGCTTAACGCGCTGGGAAACAGTTTATACTCGCATATTATGATTAGAATCATCATTATCTTCAAGTTCATGATAATAATCTGGACATATGCAAAGCAATACACTTCTTTAAAATGTCCAACCAGCGTTCCATAATTGCCAAAGTATTCTTCATCTTGCCACGGGTCTTCTATTGAGGGGTCCTCCTCCTCCTCCCCTGCAGCATCCTGGCTCATGTAGCTGGCAGGGACATAACCTATGACCCCCTGCAGCTCTGCCCACCACCACTCTGAGGAGGGCTTGGCGTGCACGAGCAGTCTGTCCCCTCTGCTGAAACTAAGCTGTGAGACCAAAAAAAAGTCACACGGTTATTGCTGATACCCCCACCTCCCATTTTAAGGCTAGGATCTCGGAGGTCTGCGGGTCTCTCTGACCTGATCGGTGCTACTTCCAGTGAAATCTGACCGGGCAACGTACTCCTCACAGGACGCCTCATCCTCATCCTCCGTCTGCATATTTGCTTTTGACACTTTCGCTGGTTGTTTTTCTCTAACAAACAAGCCAAACCATTTCACGTGCAGAGCAACTAAAAAAAACTACAAAAAACCCCCACTGTGAGTTTAGAGTGAATCGAGCGGCGAAACTCCTACTTTCAGCTACAGCGCGCACCGCAGACACTTCCTGTTTCGACGTAAGGTTGCGTTATCAAGCCTTCACGTGCTGTCGGAAGTTTCGAAACTGTAAGTTCATCTCAAACGAAATAACACGACATTTAACCCTATCAGAAAACGTTTACTGCATTGTGCACCAAATATTATTAAGCTTCATTATGAGATACGTTGGTCTTCATATTCGGTTTGTTTCACAGTTGCATTTTCGTCTTTCTTCTGGTGTCATATTCACTTCTATTTCCAAATGGCCTCTTGAAGCTTGTGTAAAGCGACCCTTCACTGAAAGTTTCCTGAAAGACCAAAGAACAGAATTTCACAATTTCCTGGACAAAATGTTTGACTTAAAAGAAAATGACTTGAGGGTATGAAAAATTTATTTTTGATCTGCACGCTTTTCCCGTTGCCTCAAATTTAAACATTAGGTTCTTGATTAAAAATAACCCTGAACCATTCATGCAAATACATTAAAAAATTTGTTTGCAAGAAGATAAAACAGATGTAATATACTGCTGGACATCTCAAAGAATTTTAGATATCCTTCCATCCACTTTCTCAAAAACTTAGATCATAAAAGCTATAAAAAGGAAAGCATCCCGGACAAGTCGCCAGTTTATCCATACCTCTATATCAGACTTTAAATTTTTTTTTGCCTTATTTATTCCTTTTTTGAATGAGTTTTTTTTAAAGCACTAGTTTTTTTCTAGTGCACTTTCTGCAGAGATTCAAGCAAAATCATTGTTGTCTTGTGTGTCTGCAATGAAATATTAAGATATATTATACAGTTAAAAATAAAATAATGTAAAAACCAAAATATAACAAAAATATTTATTAACAAATTATACAAAATAATAACACACACGCACACACACAGAAATAAAAAACAACAACAACAAAATACATAAGTTTGAAGCTCAAACAGTTCACAACTTAAATTCCTAAAACACATCCACTGATTCCAGCGAGGAAGAAGGTACATTTTAAACATGTGCCACTTCAAACTAACCAGTTCATGTCAAGAATCCACAAAAGAAAAGCCATGGCATGAAGTTTGAGGTCTAGTTGAGTTTGTATGGGATAAACATGTTTCTCCCTTAACTCTGTAAATCGATAGACTTTGTAGTATTCAGTCCTCCTGAGTGTTTTAGTTTGATGTTCAACATGATGATCAAACATGTAGAACTGTTTTCAGAAGCATATCACATTCTTGGTAAAAAAAAAAAGAAGTCTCAGCTGTCTTTTGTCTTTGCCTTGAGAAAGGGCTTATGGAGGACGTCAAAGAGTCGTCTTGCCTGTAAACACAAAATGTCAACATGTTAAGTCATCAAACACTTCATCTACGCCGTGTATATTTATACTCAGCACATGTGTTTTCCTCACTTTTTGTGGTCCAAGTCCTGGGCAGACAACCAAATCTTCCTTAGAGGCACTGACGATTCCTTCTACAGACTGAAGAATACATCATGTCTGTTTATTGATTGGATCATATCCACTGACAACATGACTGAACTACAATTACACACTCGCAGTTGTTCATGAACCAATCAAGTTGCACATCTCCCTTTAGGCTTTGCAGACTCTTGTGGTATATATAGTGAGTCTTTAAAGAAATTTAATAAACATGATTAATTAATACTTGAAGTGAAAATTGTGAAAAATGAGGCACTCACAGAGAACGCAGACAGCAAAGTAATGGCATCAGTTTTGTTGATAGACTTCACAGTTGTCAGGCAATCTGTAACCTTGAAGTAAGCAGAGATCCAATCAGCATTTTCAGTGTTCATGGTCTTAAAGCTACTGCAACATTTTGGCAAATACTGTACATTCCCATGTTATCATATCTTCCATGACATTTCTATAACATCTATTTCTTTTATTAAATGGGCACAAGTAGGCGAAAAGACAAAAAAAAGCACCAAGAGCTCACATAGAAAACAGTGACTCTACACACACCTTTGACAGGTAGTCTTTTTCGACTTGCTCCTTCAGCATGTCAGCTGGCTTCTTTTCATACGACTTATACGTTTCCAGGTAGCGACCTGCCTCTTCTGGACTGGCAGTTCAAAATGAAAACGACAGAAAACAACAAAACACGTTTAAAAAGACAAGAAGTGTTTGACTTTGTCTTTGAGCTATAGTTTTTAGATGTTGGAGCCAGAATCACACTGATTATTTATTTTATATATGTGTCTTGTAGCAAGCTGCTTACCTCCAAGCCAAGATGAGAGTGCAGTCAGCCATGATGCACATGCGAGCCAGCTCTTTTAACGCATGATGAGGATCTTTCTGTAGTTGAACAGATGTTAGGGTTAAAACAAAATACAACAACAATTCATTCTTAAAGACTTCATGAAGTCACATTAGGGCTTTAGATTTGCTACAAATTGAGATGTTGTAACATTTTTTTAATTTTGACCCAAATCTGAGTCTTCTTACACAGTATCTATTATTTGGCAGCTCTGAGATCTTTATTTTCCTACACACAGTGCCAAAAATAGTCTCCAGCTGCACCTCTTCACACTTCATTTACACCACTGTTAGCGAAACTAATTCAGCTGAGGCAACATATACTTCACAAATGAGTAGATCTGCATTGATCACTTACATTAAGCTGCTAAAGGAGAGCTGTAATGTCCTGAAAAGATTGTTGTCTTGTTAATATATAAAACTTTTGGATGTTTACATTTTTGTCAGCAATTCACAAGGCCAGCTGACGTTACTGACCTGACAGCTGTTACCGTTAGATAATCCACAGTTTCATAGAGGTAATTTGTTTCCCTGTTTCTGTTGTTCACTCGCTTAAAAGCCTCAAATTTTGTTTCTAGTATTACCCAGATGTCCCAAAGCGGCCCTGGAGACACGAACACTTGCAGAACTATCACAAATTTACTTTTGAGTTCTGTGGCAGATGTTTACACAGTATTTAACAAAGGTGAGTATAATCCTTTGAAACAGTGTTTAAATGATAAATGATGTAAATTATATCACCTTATGGCACTTGCATTCTCCTGAGCTGACATTTAGAGTAGTGATTCTTATGAAAAGTAACACTCTTTGCTGGACTTTCTCAATTTTGGACCAGTGGGTTTTGTCTGATCTGTATGTCTGCCTCATGGTTCCACATAGAAAAGAACTGTCAGAGGAACTGAATAATCTCAACACGAAGCTCCACAAAGATGGAAAAAACATAAAGAAAGATTGATTTCCACCTAAAAATCAGTGGAAGCACAGCTGCTGCAGCAGTAATCAGGAGGTACAAAATGAGCCATATTGCCACTCATCAGAGCTGCAGTGGCTGTCCTCCTAAAATGATGCCACCAACAGTGCACTGCTTGCACAATCCAGCTCTGAGAAACAGTTGGGTAAGTGCTTAAGACTTGGCACAGGGGTTATAAATGGAAATCAGAGTTTTTGTGACAGCTGTGAAGGACAATGCATAACATTAAGCTCAGTGGATGGCGTCCAAGTAAAAGAACTTGCTTGTTCTTCAGTACAAAACTGTAATATTAAACTTAGAGGAGAAAAAAAAAGGACATGGAAAAAAAAACCCCAAAACAAACCGATGAATATTGGGAGCACGTTCTTTGGGCAGTTGAGAACAATATAAATGTGTTCAGTTCAAATGGGATCAAACATGTTTGATGAGGTGTGGATACATTGGTGCAAAAGGTGCTGGGGAGATGACCTTTATAGTTTGCACTATGAATGTACCAAAATACTGTCTGACACCATGACTCCTAATCTCCAGAAGCCGGCAGAAGAGGGATATTCCAGCATAATAATGATCCAAGGCACACTGCCCACATCACAATAGAGTTTCTAAAGTAGAGGGAAAAAACACTATGACCTGCCCTTTTCAGGTCAGACCAAGTATGCTGCCTGACTTGAATCCAACTGAACCAGTTTAAAGAGAAAGGATAGAGCAATACAAACCATCCACCTAATAAGAAAAAGAAAAAGTATACTCCATGAGGAGGAGGACTGAGTCTGTCGTGAAAAATAAAGATGGACACAAAGTATTAAAGTATAAAAAGATCTAAAATGCAGTAGCTGCACTGATTCTGCTTTTATTATAGTCGATCTAAACAGGATCTAAAATGAGTTACTTTAAGAGCAAATTCTGTTCAGCATAGATGTAATCCAGTTACAAGAAAATGACACAATTTTAAAACCAAGTGATACTGCACAGGTGTGTACCCACGTCTGCTGTCTGTGTGCAAATCTTCTGAATGTAATACCACACAGCTGTGCAAAATGCAGTCATTATATTTCACAGATGTGTAGTGCACAACAAAAGAAAATGAAGCATGAGCGCAAATTAATTTGCATCACCACTGTTTTGATCCTGTCACAAGACGGCTTCTGGTTGCTTGGAGGAAGTGTAAAAGATTTAGATGAAAACAAAGAGAATAAGAAGATGGTATCAGTCTTGAAATCCTGTAGCAGGAAACTTTGTACAGCCTCCTCCTTTCCTGATATGTACAAACTGAAGCTATTCAGATATAGATTTCACAAGAGTAATGTTCAACAGCTTCTGAGGTACTGAATGATTAAAAAAGATGCAGGAGCTGCATTTGAAATAGAAAAAAGTGCCTTAATGCATTATTTATGTGACTACAGTTTCAAATCACTTTGACGCATTTCTCACATCAGGAACACCATTCTCACCGCTCTTCTCAAATTAATAACACGCTTCCCCACCAACCTTAGCATTTCCCATTGCGTCTGTACAAACTGCTGTTGTTTCTACACATACACTCCTTTACATTCGTTTTTTAGAATCTGAACACTTAACATTAGGCTCACGTTTTTGTAGTCAGTAAGGTTTTGATAAAAGTAGAACAATAAACACATTAAGACAATTGAGAAAAACTCTAAACTGGACTGTATATTATAAGCATGTGCTATTTTTACTTTATCAGAGGAAATGACACCTTAGAATAGCTGCTGCAGCCATTCAAAGATCTTAATTTGATTAGATTTGACAATGACTGACACAGAGCATCCCCTAATGGTTTGATAAATAGTAATAATCTCCAAGTTACCACAAAGAAGTCAGGCCACTGAATGTTGAGAATACTTTAAATAATCAGTAATGCTAAAGAGCATCTTTACTTACCACGTCTACTTGAACCAGTAGCACTCGTAGTGTGAATGTGTGTCCAAGCTGTTTCAGACGGTCATGGATATAGTTTGGGTTGAGATTGTGATACCTCAGACTTTATGTCGAGTCAAAAAACAAACAAACAGAAAGAACATAAACCAACATCAAAGCAAAGCAAAATACACAATAGAAATAAAACAAAGGAAAAAAGCATATTTTTTCAACAAATATAAGCACAGAAACCTTTTTTTTTTATAACACCATGATATTACAGTAACAGAAAAAAGTAAAACAAAAATGTTCCAGTGTGTGTGCAGTGACAACAACTTTTTCTTGCTCACATAAACAGAGTTTGTGAAGCACAAAAACCTACCTGAGAAAGAGAGCACAGGTTGTCTGTCCCAAGACATAATCTGGCACAACATCTCCAAACTCCCATGGGACACTCCTAACAAACTTCAGAATGGGGTTTCCTCTCTGTAGTGTTAGAAATAAGTTTTGGGATTTTTGGGTGTCTTTTCAACATTGACTGCAATATATGCTCATAATAGAGTTGACACACTCCTCATTAAAAGCATTAACCC